TTTTGGACTTGGAAAAAATAAAATGGGGGGGGGGGGGTAACATAGGTCATAGGGTAAACCAATAATTGAGATGGTCTGGCTTTGATGCCATGATAAGCAAATGACTTTGGACTTAATTCGACCTCAAAATCTAATGCATGAGGTGAGGCTTACCCAAGCCTGCCAACTGGAGCGTGTACAGAGCATCTAGAAGTCCTTGGTTCGAGTCTCACCGCCACCTTTGAACCAACAACAACATACCTAGTGTCATCCCATAGGTGGGGTCTGGGAGGGTAGAGTGTATGAAGATCTTACCTCTACTTCGTAGAGATAGAGAAACTGTTTCCGATAGACCCTTAGCTTAAATAAAGCCTGCCAAACATTTGAAAAAGAGCTACAGATATGGAAGCAATAACAACAACAAAATAATGTGAAATGGAGAGTAATACACAACAAACAAGAGAAAGAACAATAACGACAACAAAATAATGCAATAATCGGAGCACAAAAAAAGCACCAGTGATAGCCGAAATCAAAGATCAAAAAACAAAAAAAACACCAGTGTAATCTCACTGCCACCATTATTAATAAAATTTCATGTGCTTGGTCCGATTAACACGTGAGGGGGAGTGTTGAAGATATAATTAAGTAATTTAAATTGTATTCTCTCAAACAACTTAATCTTTTAGATGGGATGATCACAAACTTCAACTATAGAAAAAGATGACAGGGGTCACTCCAGCTCAATTGAACCTTCTGAGCGATCATTGATTATAATAGCTATCTGGCTGAAGAATTTCAGAAGTTTAGCCACTCAATTCATCTATTGTCAAAGCCCATATCCTTCATTATATTCAGAGGAAAGACCAAATTTCGTGGCTGTATGCTTTCTCTGAGTCGAACTTGCACACTATTCTGCTCATTTCTGATTCTGTCTCAAGTACTCATTTGCAATTAATGAGTCATATATGATTTCGTTCCCTGTGCAAAGGCATTTTGGCAACTCAGACTAGTTCCCTGATGAAATTTTTTCAATCTCCATTCAACACCTTCGCTTATAATTTTATGTATATACCTTGATAAGCTGATAGGAACAAAATCTTTCTGCTTTTTAGTAACTTTTTGGTCAAAACTACAGATATTTCATTCAGATGTTTGTATTGCAATCCTGAGATATTGGTAATTATTGTATCAACTGAACTTCAATGATTGTTCTATTTGTCTCATCTACTTAAAGTTTCACTACTTGTTCTTCGCTTATTGGAGACATTCAATCTTATGCCCTTTATTTGCACCTGTTTTGTGAAGTCTAGAGAATTTATAGATATTGGCCTCCAATAGTTTCCTGCCAATTTTTATTAACTTTTCTGACGAACTAATGCCACAGATGGCCTTTGCCTTTCACAGTTGTTCCCACAGCTCTCAGTACGGCAATGGATGTCAACCTCAGCAATGCATCCCTTGTTTTCATATCAGTGACATTTGCTACTATGGTTTGTATTCGTTCTCCCTGTAAGTTTTAATATACCAATCAATATGGTCAACAGATTTATTAAGAAAATTAAGTCACTGGGCAAACTCAAAAAGGATTCTCACAACCCAGCATTCCTTTAGGTCTGTAGAAGCACTTACTCCTGAAATTTTAACAACAATTTGTGAGATTGCAACCCAATAACAATAATTTTCTAAGACTTGAAGGGAGAGTGAGTGAAACGATCTTCAACTATTACTCGTAAAAAAGAATAATCCTCTAGTTTCCTTCATTTTCCTCCATAAATTCTTGACTCCTAAACACAAGTTTATCATTGCAGTGCAAATCTGCAGCACCGATCTTTCTCCTACTCTTCGCTTTTGCTTTCAGGTACTTCTTTTAATCATTGCTCTATTTCTCATTGAGTCTTTACTATATGTAGTAGATGCATGTCCTGTTGAATTATTTGTCAATGTGTATAGTAACTACTCCATCTGTCTTAATTGACACTCCCTTTTTTTTAGTCTGCTTTAAAAGAATGCCACATTTCTAAATTTCGAAGCGCGTTTTAGCTGTAAATTTTTCATTTTACCTGCAATTATACGCTTTTAAAGGGTAATTGCAGGTAAAATAAAAAATTTGCCGCTAATGACTTGTATTATACACATTTCAAATTTTTCATTTTACCTGCTTTATGACTTGTATAAGACAATAATTTCTAAGGGTAATTTTGGTATGTGCCAGAAGTCTGTCTTTCTCTCTTAAACTCTGCATAACGAAAACTCTGCCATATATGTAATGGAAGGAGTAGCCATTTTGGCATATAAGGACTCTTCAATCTTTTGAAGGACCTTTTCTTATCCAGGTAGAAAAAATCTATGTAGTCCATCTTTAAAGCTCAGTCTCCATGACCTTAAAAGGAAGCAGGATACAACCATCACTTATTGATTTTCAATTAGTCCCTCTTTAGTGGTACACATACTGGGAAAGGAAGCTTTTTTCCCGTCCATTGCATACTTGACCCTTCAAGGATTAAATTTATCATCCATCTCTCATGAATGATTTCACTTGCTGTCTCTTAGAAATGAGTTCTTATTTGAATATATTTGGTCTACTGCCTTGTTTTTAACCTCAGATTTTTTTTGAAAGGTTGGAGTCTCCGAGTTTGAAGCTGCTAGGGATCATGTTGATTATTTCTATTGGGGTATTATTAACAGGTATCCTATACACTTATTAGCATATCGCTTTTGTTGTTTCTTGTATTTTTTATTTTATTCTTGGGTAATATCAGTTATGCGCATGCTAGGTAGCTTGTCCTTGCGTAGGTAATCCGACTTAAAGGACATTCATAATTCTCAATTTGTACTCTGGTAAAAGTAGTGCTTTGAGTCTACATGTCTTTCATACTTGTTGTTTCCCATCCTCCTTTTAACCATCATGATCTATACATGACTATCATTTTATGTCCAAATATAACTAGGATGGGACCGAAATGTGCTGGACTTGATATGAATTCCATTTGTTTCAATTACATTTCTCCATTGTTTCGGCTGTAGCCTTTAAAAATCATACTTTTTATAAGTAAGTTTTTACTTTCTTAAAATTAAGAAAGGAATATTTTGGGGCTCGAGTTTCTAGAATTGCTATTTCATACCTAATAATCTGATTTTCTATCCTCTTTACTTTTCTTTTTTTTCATGACACATTCTCTTTTCAACTATAAGGTGGCTGAAAATATACATTTATACAAATACTCGCTGGAATGAGAAAGTTGAGATGGATACTATTTTGAACAAGAAAGGAAAGGTACAATAACACAAGTATTAAAAATGCTGAGGATAGTGATAGGGTAGTGGCTCCACAAGGTAGTGTGAAGAAATAGTTTTAAACCATTCGCATTTCACAGTTTTTCTTCTAATTCTGCAAAGGTGAAATCAATTGGATGGAGCACTTCTAGAACCATTAATGCAAAGAGTAGAAAAAATCGTAACAAATGAGATGAAAAGAGTAATTGCACCTAAGGGTGTGGCCTAGTGGTCAATAAAGTGGGTGCAAACCTTGGAGACCCAGGTTTAAATTGCAGTAGAAGCAAAAATACTTGGTGATTTCTTTGTATTTGCCCCTTAGAGAGTTGAGTTACTTGGTAGTTGTGTTGGTGAGAGGTAGTAGGTGGAATAGCCGAGATGCGTGCCAACTAGTCTGGACACCATAGTTATTAAAAAAAAGGGAGATGAAAAGAGTAATTTTAGAGAAATGCCATGACTTATTAATCAATAGTATAGACATTGAATGTAGATAAAAGAAACCGAGAAAAACGGAACTCACGTAGCATAGATGAATGTATTAGAAAATGCCGAAGTAGTTTGTGGTTCTCTTCAAAACTATCTCTGTCCATTTTCTTAACCTTGTTATTTTCAGTTTTTTGAGTGCCTAGCTAACTTTAATATGTTGTGACTAATTCTGTTGTCTGTAGACGGATATATGTTCAATAAGCACATCTGACCTTTATTGATTGACAATACAGTTGCAAAGGAAACGGAGTTTGAGTTTTGGGGGTTTATCTTTGTTATGCTAGCTGCTGTTATGTCTGGGTTCCGCTGGACTATGACTCAGATACTTCTGCAGGTAGGATTACAGAAATTGTTAAAAGTGAATTTGTTTTTAAGTATTTTCATCATCATACTTGTGCTCACTTCGTCTATTTTGTGTTCATTCTCCTGTACTCCATCCAACGGGTGTGCGCTGACAAAAAACTGTCATAAAGAAAGAAATCTACGGTAAGGACTTTCAGCAAATTATAGCAAACTTTCAAAGCTCTGAAAATGAATTTATTCATAGAGTATTTCTGTTAATTAATACTGTTGGTGGATGATTGAATGTTGGTGCCTCAGTTCTTCATTTTACCTAGTTTTGGATTCCCCTAAAAAGTATTTTTTTTTGACAAAGGTAACAGTTTTGTGTATTAATATTTAGCACTAAAGGCTGGAATTCCAAATTTACATCATGGAGCTACATACAATTGCGTGTACTTAAAACAAAACTAAACTAGATCCTACTTCATCTTACAAAGGACCTAGGATATCTCTAACCGCTATAGGATCATCTACATACTCCGAACTACACCAATAGCAAAAAGTGATTATGCAGTTAACTTTAATCCTGTGTAAAGGACTACTACTACTCTCAAAGCATCTCATATTTCTCTCCTTCCATATGGTCCACCAAATCACTGCTGGGACAATCCTCCATCTGCTTTGGTCTGTACTGCCACTGCCTTCATTGTTCCAGCTTTCTATAGCCTGACTTGCCCTTTGTGGCATGGTCCAGTTTGTGCCCCTGAAGCTGGTAAATAAGTGGTAAATAAGTGCCACAGCTGTCTAACCACCTTGCAATGAAGAAACAGATGGTTGATTGTCTCTGCCTGTTGCTCAAAACAAAACATCTAGGACACATATGTATTCCCCTCTTCATTAGATTCTCCTGTGTTAGTA